TTCAGTGTGAGGAAAAACATTATGTTAGGTTGCGTCTCCTGCTTCCTCCAGTGCCCATACAGTAGAGCTCATTTTTTACCTTAAAACTGCAGCTTATAGTGGAGATTTTTTAGCCTCTTTTAGGTCATTGTTTTGGTTTTTTTCCATCCACCAATAAACCTCATCACCAGCAGCATCAACCCGCTGCTGCCCACCCAAAAAGCTCTGATAAACCCATTGCATGCCACCTGCTCAGCACCTAACGGTAGATAGACTAAGTTGGTGACTTTACCTACTAGCTAATGTGGAGCTAGATGCTAGTTGCCAAAAATACAACTTAAAAGGAATGTGAGTCTGATGGATGTGTAAAGGGACGAGGGCATTCGCTTGAATGGAGACTGGCTGCAATCTGCCATCCCACCAGGGCGGAAAGGCAGAGGGAGAGCCATAAAAGCTTAAAACACCATCCTGATGACTTTATCGAAAGCAAATAGACACTACTAGCTAATATTTTGCAACATGTTTTCTGCTTTACTACTTCAGATTAGTGCTAATTACACAGATAATGTGATGCTATCAAACATTTTACACCCTTTGAGCTCTTGCCTCACGTTACTGGTGCTGGTTTGTGTTTCAGACATGTTAGTGTGTTATCTGATCACAGCCTCGGGGAGACTTAGTTGAGCTTGATGGCAGATAATGGACCTCTGTTTCCTTTGTGATCACAGAACTCATTAGAAATCCTTCAGGCTCGTGTAAAATTTTGAGTGTATCTCAACTTGCTATTAAACCCGGCAGCAGCAGGATTAAATATATTGACTTGAGACACAGGTACAACAGTTGAGCAGGTATGTAATTAGGCTCTGGGGTTTGGACTTTACTTAAACTCATAGCAGAGGAGAAAGCAGAGGAGTCCTCGTGAGCACTTCAGGAGCCAAGCAGCGAGCAGACCCCATTCTGCTGTCAGTCTTCCACGTATTTATCACTTTGTTTCTGTCCATCATCCACAGTGTGGTAAAGCAATAGCCGTTAAAATTCAAAGGTATTACACACTAATAAAATACCTTGAACAATGTGCTCTATCCTTTACATGAAAGAAATTGAAATAACCTAGCGAAATATACACGTACACAGTATATTGCTACAGAGATCTGGAGAGCAGGTGATGTCTAAACAAATACATATCAACATGAAGCAGAATCATGAATGTACAACAGTTACAAAGGTCAGATCCTACCTTTAAGCAAAGAGATAGCTGAGCACACAAGACAAAGGCCATGAGGTTCAACAGTCAGGATACAATGTTTGAAGGAACTTTAAAGTCTTTTGATTTTAACGTGAGTGGACGTAACATTAATTTTGAGGTTGGTGTAAAGACTGTGAACACGCAGTACCATCATCGAGAACGGCACAACTTACTGGCTGCAGGAAATACTCGATAGATTCAACATAATGTAAACTGCCACAGCGCTGACTCCACCAGTATGAAAACAACATTCCCGCACAGATTGTAAAACATTTTGTGCGAGAAGAGCTGAGTTTCACTGACACGAACGATCGGACGGTCAACCGCGACTGAAAAAAGTGTAAAGTATAAGTGTAAGTATAAAGAGTTGTTTATTAAGTATTTCTGAGCGACAGTGAGCATGATATGACTCTGTTGTTGTACTGATGGGATCGCTGCTGTGAAAATATGCAATATGTCGAATTTAGCTTTGCATTAACAGCAAACCTGCCGATAAAACAGCAGCAAGGACCGTTTCTCACTAAAACATGATAAAATACACTGAGAGACATTCAAAACAAAGCCCCGTTCCTAAGATAAGCCTGTTAGAATTTACAGATGAATTAATGGCACAAACCAGGAATAGTTACTTATCAATACAACTCCTGCTTCTCTCGGGTGATGTTAGAATTGAAACCTACAAACTCACCAGTGCCACCAGCCACTGTGGTCTTAGCTGTCTACGGTAATTCCACCAAATTATCACAATTAATTTAGAGAGTGATCTGGTGACACTTGCTACGTTGTGGCACAACAATGAGTTGACAGCAGTGTGTCATGTATGTGCAACGTCTGGGAAACACTGCCTGCCTTGTGTGTGTGTGTGTGTGTGTGTGATGGCTACTTCTCTGCACTGCTGCAGCTCGCACGTGTGTATGCGTGCACACTGCCACAGCTCTGCTATTGCCAGACTCAGTCTTTCTACACAATGTCCGTTAATAATAGAATGTTTGATTCCTTTTCAATATAAATTTTATTAATCTTTTTTTACCCTTATTCAAAAACCCAGAGAGAGAGAGCACACCAGACAAACACTGCCATTCACCTGTTAAACCATTGTCATAATATCTTCATAGCTAACATTAGGTTTCTGATATGATGGCCGCCACTGTCTCCACATACAAATGCTAAAATGGCATATTCAGATACATTCTATAGATAGAAACTAAAAGGTGACACGTTTATGTAATTGTATGCTGCTGGTGTGATGTCAGTATAACTACCAACAGATCTTTCCACTGTCTATTTTTGCGAGTGAAAAAAAGGCGAGACGCCAATATTCTAGATGAGGAGAGACAGTGTGTCCGCTCTAACCTGTTAACGTGGGCGCCAAACTGAAAACCAAGATGTACATAAGCATTTTCATGCATTTCACTAGCACAGACAGAAACTTGAAGGGCACTCAGAGAGCACAGACCTCAGCCAAAGCCAATGTAGAACAACATACAGCAGACTTAAGACAAAAAAAAAAGTCTAACTCATAATAAATGATCAGGATCTGCCCAAAAATTTCCCCAGCTTCAATTTTGTGATTTGATTTCTATCTTTGTGAGGACATTTGAGAGTCTGCAGAAGGAAGTTCCAGAACACACACAAACAGTGAGTTTTATCAAATGATGAACCTGCATATTTGAGGGAGAATATATATAACAAGAGGACATGGCCACCTCAGCGCAAGCTTGAGATGGAGCAATGTACATGCCACTCATCCTGTCTGACACTACACTTATTCAGTACCGACACCGGCGGTTACACTGCTCCAAAACAGTTTTTCGACAACACTCTCCCCAGAAACTTTTACTGTTAAAGTAACTTTATGCAGCAGTTCATTATCTACCATTAGTGTGAGTATTTTATAGCTATACAGTGCAATAGGGTAAGCCCTTCTTTAAAAAAAATAGAATTGCTTTTAATAAATACAAGATAGGCCAATAATGCAACATCAGGCTAATACTGGCCTTTGTTGTAAAATGGGTTATAAGTCTGATATAATGGACGAAAGCATGTAAAACCTTTATTGATGTCTGTCTGGTGAAATTTAAATTTTTTTTTTTTTTTTTTAAACATTTTTTTAGTAAAGATAAAGATGAGTTCATTTGTCATGAAGAGTGTCACTCAACATGTGAAAACTGGTGTATAATACACCATGTGTTACAAATGTTGAAGGTGAGAGATTGAAAGACATTTACCATGCAGGGAGGGTCTAATAGAAAAAGACGATATCCAGTTGCTTTATGGGAAACATGGGATGCAGTGTTGTTGGAGTTTGGCCCAGGGATTAAAAGTCGGAATACTTTGGCCTATGCTGCTTCGTCCCTTTTTTTAATCTCACAAGTCCCTCAACTTTATGGAAGCCTGATACTAAATATCTATGTTTTTTTAATGGTAATACAACACACACATCATTTCAACTCCAAAATCTAAGATGTTCTGACGTTTTAAAATGGATATCAATGCCAGAAATGATTACGGCAAGGACTGTATTTTGAGAGACAGACCTTCATATTGTGATATTCGCTAAAATGAATTTGCTAGAGCACTGTTTGTAAGAGTATATTAACACAACAACAACAATTTGGTGGTGAGGAGAAACAAAAATAACATAGTATAGTATCACCTCTGCCACTCCGTTGCTACTTTGAATGATTCAAGCTAAGTCTTCAATAAGAAATTCTCATTTACTCCAAAAAGTATGAGTAAATCGAGAGTTGAATGAATGAATTATACAGTACAGTATGAGTGTTATCAGTATGTATATGTGTCTATTTCCTACAAAGACACTGCCCATGGTGTGCAGAGTCTGGCGTCATAGTCTCCACCTGCACAAAATGCAGGTAAGCTAGTGACACACGCGCGAAATACAAACACGCTAAAAAGGATCAGCACCCGTGAACCGACAGCTCAAGAAAGAATTGCAAGTGTTGGCTCAGCAGGGTCAAATGTAATGCTAAGAAACATGCATGAATACATCCGTCTGTTCAGCTACGGTTGACCTGAAAGACTATGAAAAGTGTAGAAAAAACCTCCACCCTTCACGCACAAGCTAAGGTATGACATCCCTGACGCTCATGACGTTCCACTGAAGACGGCTCTGTGAGGAGTGTGTGGGCCTTGGATTCTGATCTACAGTATGTTGCGAACAGTAGGCTAAGTACAATTCTTAGTACCAAACAAGGGATTTAACCTGAGTTAATACAACAGTCTGTACAAAATGCTTATACAGTTATTTAAAGTTAAAAAAAAAAAAAAAAGCTGGGTTAAGTCAAGACACCTAACTTTTTTATCAGACTAATTTAATGTCTAGATTTTCACACGATAGCATGGCGAGAGATGCTGGGACGCTCCAGTAAGCACTTGTTTATTTACATATAGGCTCTAATTCCATTGCAAATAACCTCCACACTTGACAAAGAAAAGACTTCCATCCTATAATGCTCCATCTTGAGAGAACAGAAGAGGCAAAGAAAGGCAAAAAAAAAAAACAAATAGATAAACAAGATCTGTCACCTTCTAAACTCTTTCTGTTCTCTGCTGTCACTCTTTCATCTAGCGTCCTCTCTGAACTCAGGAATCTAACTCTACTTAGTGTCGTTTGACACATTTAGGATAGGATGATGAGTCCTTTTGCTTCTCCTCCTTTTTCTTGTCCCTCTCCTTCTCTTTTCTCAGAGAGACAGGTAGAAAGTGAAAAATGGATAAGGGAAGTACACCACTGGCTGAAACTACAGGGCCACCGTGTTGCTTCAGAAGGGACAAACAGACCCAAACTGCGCCGCTGCTCCAGTTCTGCCACAGAGCCGGTCCAGGCGCCCCTAAGGCGCCCTTCAACCAAACGCCCCGTCACCGTACAACAGTAGGCTCAGATATGAGATAACCGGCCGACAAGCCAACAGGAGGTGGGCGACGTCACAACAGGTCGTCGTAGTCCAGCAGCTTCGAGTGCTGGCGGCTTTTCCACAGGCGGAACAGACGGAAGTCAAAGTACATCTCGATCATCTCTTTGCCTGCAGCGAAAAAAAAAACCAAAATGTAAGGACAAAGTTTGTTGAGCAGTTGTGTTGAAGAGCAAAGACTTGCCATTTGGTTGGTCTTGACAGTTTTAGGTACCGCTAGCGGAGTGAGTGAGTGGGCGAGCGAGAGCGCTGATGTATAGTGATTGTGTTTAGTTACTTCAGCCCAGCTGCAAAATCTGACTGTGTACGGCTGGGACAGAAAGAGGCTCTCAGAAAAGAGAAAATGAAATCAACATTTTCTTTATTAATTAACACTATTGCAAAAGTGTTTAATATACACACATATCAGTATTAAAGTATGGACCTTTTTCAAGATACAAGGGTATAAAAATTGTAAATCACTTCTCGCAAGTCATTTTTCTGGTGTTATGTGCAACATTTTTTTTTAGCACAAGATGCTTCATGCTGATGAATTCTAATCTAATACTTTCTATGACCTAGAAAACAATTGCTTCAATCTGCTCAAGGCTATATGTGTGTGCACTTTAGCCAAGTAATCAATATGCAAAATGCAAAGAAAAAACTGGGCAAAAAGATATTGTACAAACATCTCGCCTGCGGCTCTCATCAGATACTGAGGTTTAAGGGCTGAACTCTGCCCTACACTATTAAATTAGTATTTTTTTTTTCCCTCACATCTTTTAACATTCAGTCCAGTCTTATAAATAAAATACAAGAGCTGAATGCTTTCACACAGCACCACAGGTCGAATGTCTGGAAGAAGGATAGAAAGGCGGAGATGAAGCAGAGTGTGGTGGGTCAATACAGGATAGGAAAACCCATAGAGGCAATAATGACATTTTAATAGGAAAATAATTAGCGTGGCATCAATTGATGTCAGGAAAATGACTGATGAGGGATGCGCTGAGAGCTCAGCAGAGTTCACACCTGTATTTGCTCACACTCCCTAATGTGCTTTCTTCTTTGCTGAACAGCTTACTGGCATTGATTAATGCCCGCTATTAACATTCAGTGGGTGTACTGGTGAGGCCGATTGCTCTAAATCAATACAAATACTGTATGCATGTTTTTTTTGTTGTGATGCATGCAGCTCTTTTATGGTACAGGAGGGGTAACCACATGTTTTCTGTGTCAAGACAACAGGAAAACCAACAATATTGCATGTAACTATAGGCAGTGTGTGTGGTGCTCTCACCCTGTGCTGAGAGCTCTAGTGGGGACTTGAATTCGACCGAGGAGGGTCTCATCAGCCTCTTCAGAGTCTGAATAAGCTGCAGGGAAAAGGGCAGAGATAAAGAGAGAGAGAGAGAGAGAGAGTTAGAGTGAGGGAATACTGGATTCCAAATGCCATCAGTTATTTTGAAAGGAAAGCAGACAAACCAGTGACAGAGATATGACCGGATGGAAAGAGCAGGAGGAGCCCCCGCAGCACTTTGATTCTGTTCATGTAGCACCGCAGCTTTAGCGTATGTGAAAAGGTCAATGTGCCACTTACATGGCAATAGCTGAGTATACATGAAAGGCACATATGGTAATGTTTTCTGTTCATAAAGACACATCTGTCAGAGTGGATCTATAGTGCGGCAAAGGCCTGGCAGAGCAGGGTCACATACAGGGAGGTGGTGTAGCATAAAGCCACTAAATCACTGTTATGTTTAAAAGCTGACACAGACCTTTGTTCTAAATTAATTCATGACACAAGTAAAAGCCTGATGGGTCTTAGCGAGAAAATGTGTTTTACAGGACAAAAAGCATAATTTTTAGAATATTATTTAGAATAATATTTAAAGGTCCCATGACCTTTAAATATTGAAATATACCATATGATATATATACATACTGTATGATATATCTAATATATGTTTTCTAAAATGTAAAGATAGTGAGAGCCTTCCCAGAGCTTTGTTTCACAAGGACTGGGCTTCATTAAAAAAAAAAAAAAACCTCACTCAAGCACTGACACTTTGTATAAAGGCAGATGTCCATGTGTTGTTTGATCATAAAGCAGGTTTAGGTTCTATATTAATACTGTGAAAGTATCAAAGTGCTCAGTCCACAGAGAAATGCACACAGCCTGTATTCAGAAACTGAGCCTTAAAACCAGCCGTCAGGACTTCTGGAACTTTGTGATGTCACAACAAAGCAGTCACTGCTCTCAGCCATGCCCCAAGCCCCGCCAACCTGGACCTACCATCCAACCTTGCAGGATTTAGTTTCTCTGAGTGTTTACTTGAAATCTGCTATATTTTTTATTAGGTCACTCAGAAAACAATCAGCCAATCAGAAGAGAGGCTCAGAGCCTCCTCTCTTCTGATTGGCTGTTACTAGAGCTACTAGAGGAAGCCCAAGAGAGGGGATGTAAAACTACATTTTGATGTAGTTTTACATCAAAATATATCTTCTTATGGATCAACACTTCAAATAAAACATGAAAAGTTTAAAATATAAATATAATACATTTCTATCTATAATAAATTTATTAATATAATATTGCTAGCCTTAAAGTAAAGGCTTTTGCTCATTCAGAGGTGTCTGATTTGTAATAGCCTATTTAGACATGTAAAATATTGTGCAACCACCGTGGCTTGTGAGATATTTGACACCTGGAGCTAAGAAGGAGCTGTGATGTCGCTGGAGTCTGACAGTGAATTGAAAAATAATGATCCATGAAAGAAGAAAAGTGGGCTGAGATCTCTTACAGGCGGGAAATGTATTTAACTGTGAAACAGTGATTAACAATCATGTGAGTGCAAAGGATGCTCATCTTCTTTTTTTTTACAGAGAGTTTTCTCATCAGCTTTATTAGTTATTATTTCTGAAGCCTGTTTTCTAATGTCTGACACAGATTGACAAGAGATTATATTGGGGCTCTCTTTCACTCACATACTGGAAGTAAAGTGTTTCGATGGACATTCATAATTGAAATAAGAATAAAAGAATAAAATTGAAAATACAGGGAGTAAAGTTTCAGTCTGAAGTATTAAATTACTATATGATTGTTTTTATCCCCTTTTTTGATGCCACACCCCATGAGGAAAAATCATTTTAGCCATGCTGACTGTAGATTTTGGTCTGTTGGTCGGTCGACCACTTTGGTCCAGACTGAAATGTCTCAACAACTGTTGGATTGATTGTTTTGCACAGACATTCATCTTCCCCTCAGGATCGATTGGTAGGATTGTCATCACTTTGGTGAACGTGTGACTTTTCATCGAGCGCCATCATCAGGTCAGAATTTTAATTTGTCCAATACTTTGAATTAACATCATAATCCAATGGATTGCACCAAGTGTCAAAGTTTGAAACTGTCAGCTCATGAATGAAAATCCACTGTAGATACCGACGTACTTGAAAAAATATGCTGGAAAAAAATCATCAACACAGACTGCACTAACACAGACAAAGGCTGTACTGCCATCTTCCTCACATACAGCGAACTCTGGCTGATCGAGCAAGAAATTGTGCAGATACACAAGGAGCGATGCAGAAGAAGTCCTTCCAAACCTCATCCTCTTTAGACTGTATCCTCATTAAAATGGTGCTGTGGGCCATACAAGATGTACAACAGTCTCTCTTCGTCCATGGTAACTGCTGACTGGGAAACGGAAATGACGTCAGTGTTGATTCAGTGTCGATTTGGACCATTGAAAACAGGTTGGAGGTGGGGCAAGTGCAGATATATCCGCTGACACATGAAGCAGGTTAGGACATGTTCACTGGGAAACACTGACACAATCTGATGTTCTCTCGCTCGCTCATCGCTGTAATACGTTCTGGCACTTCGTAAGAAGCTGGAAGAAGACGTGTTTTTCAGTCTCTGGGCTCATTTAACTTCAGCTTCAGCCTTTACTTGAATCTGACAGTAATCACTTCAGACGTGTGTCATGTTAGAAGTGATACAGAAATGTTAAAATGCCTGACCGTGTAAGATTGTAGTCGTGATGTGACGAGGTGCTTTCGTTTGACGAGTGGAAAACATTAAAAATGTCTTAAAAATATATTTTTTGAGTTAACGTTACCCTCTACTTCATCAGAGTATCAATTGTATTATATGAGCAAACCTGCCCTGCCCTACCACAATGTCGCTGATTGTATCCGAGAGCTCAGCTAGCTGTGTCCCATTTCTGTGGTGACAGTCTACAAAGGATGGATAAGGCTAAAGAGGATTAATCATAGCATCATCACCAGCTCCCATAAACCTCATAGACTCAAACTCATGTCTCATGCTGGGTTTGGGATGCTGACAGAGCTTCTCTTGGCTTGAGGAACCTGTGAAATGCCTTTTCGACATGCTGTGACGTGCTCAGTGTTGAAATGTGGATTTGAAAAATGGCAGCCCCTGAAATGGGACACAGCATGTCTGTGCTCCCCGAGTCGCCAACCTCTCCGTGCGCTCATGTACTTATATGTGCCGTTTGTTTTTTTTGTTCTTGGCAAAGAGTTTTATGACGGAAACACACAAGATGAACGGATGAAATGTGTCCTTCCATCACTTCCTGCAGGTTTCTACTGCACACGTGTGTCTGTGCATCTCGAAGCCCATCACACTTGATGATACTAAGTCTACTGCTTTTGGCAAACACACTTTGACTGCCTCCTCCTCCTCCTCCTCCTCCTCCTCCTCCCTGTCCTGCTTCTCACTCCCTGGGGTCTGGTCCAGTGCCAGCTGGTGTGCCATCACACATGGAGCCTTGCAGCATTTGCAGGTTTCATCTCCGCAACACTCTGCTGTGCATCCATCGCTACACAGAGGAAAGGCTTAGATTTTTGTGTATGCAGTGCTTTTCTTTCTTTAATGAAAATACACAATTTTGCAGACTTCCTCTATAAATAAAATTAAATAATATAATAATTTTATTGTCGGTACAAGAAAGCTAACTAAACAATTACTTTACAATTATAACTAGCTTTAGAATTAGGTAATGTAATTGGTCTTTCACTAAAGACTGTACATTCGGCATGTTGTAATTACAATCATTTAATAAAAGAAATTTCAGTATAAAAGTATAAATCTCTTCATTTGTTGTTTAAAGTTTTGTTTAAAATTTGGATGAAAATTTAGATGAAAATGCATGGGCATAGTGTATATGCAATGGAATAAAAAAATGTCTCAAAATATATTTTCCCATATTCAAGCAAAAAAGACTTTCACTAAATCAGTGTTAGATATGGAGGTAAATTTTAGTCCATGTTATGACTAATCTTTTCATAGATAAGAAAATGTAGAATAAGGAATAAAGGATAAGTTATCTCCAGAGAGGATGTTTGGGTATTTTTCTGAAGGTTTTTGGGGATTTTTTGTTACATATTTTGAACATTTTCAATTGAGGACATTGATGGGAAGATTTTGTTCTGGGGTCCAATTTTACAATTTACTTCTTCCAAATGTGTTCTTGTTCCTTCATTTTTTTTTGAGTTCTACATTTTGAGAGATTGATTGATGGATTGATTAACTGATTGGTATTACTCTCATAGTATCTGTGTGTTAAAGGTGAAGCTTGAGCCAGCAGCCAGTTAGCTTAGCTTAGCTTAGCACAAAGAGTGGAAACTGAGCTAGTTGTGAGCTAACAAAAAACACCAACCAGCACCTTTAAATGTTGCTAACTGAAATGTTTTTATCTTGGTTGTTTAACCCATAAAACCAAAGTGCAACAACATCATATTGTGTCTTTATGTGGGGTTATGTCCCGTGCCCCATGTTTTTTGGCAGGTCCAGTTCTGTTCATTACTGTAAATGAACTTACATTATAATAATATTACAGCAGTAGATGTGGACCAGCCAGGTCTGTTGATAGCAGTGGTGGTACTGAACGAGAGGGGCACTGAGTAGAACTGGAACTCAGTCGAAAGGTGAAAGGCGACGCAACCCGCCTGAGACTTTCTGTGCCGCTAATGCAACCTGCTCTGGAAGCTCAGCGTCGACATTTCCCGGTGGCTTTAAAGTGACAGGCCATCAACAGAGCACGACTTCTCAAGGATGAGGTCAGTGACACAAATGCTAATGCAGGGAAGCTTTTAGCAAGTATTAATGTTTTACTAGAGCTGTCGATCTGATTTATGTTGGATTCTGTTTGTAAACACACCATTCAGAGGTGGCTCCTCCTCCCCAGCTCCACGAGAGAGAGAGAGAGAGAGAGAGAGAGAGCACTGGTGGTTGAGCGAGCTAGAGAGTGAATGAAGAGAGACAGAGACAGCGATTTAACCTGGTCACTACGTTTTAATAGACTCCTGCCCTCACACCCTGCGCACTGTTATTGGCTGGAGCTGAGAA